CCCCCCGGCGCCCCTGACTTGCTGCTGTTTCGTAACCTTTCATCTTGACATGTAAATAGCAAAGGAAGAAAAGACACTGGCATGATTCTCAACATCAGTATTTTATTTTTACTATACAGTATGTGTTTATTGTCTGCAAATATGAAGGCTTGTCTACCAGTTTTGCATCTTTGGCTGTTCTTACTTGGAGTCCAGGCTCTGTTTTAGAACTCAATATGTATTTTGGGTGAGCAGAAAGATTGAAAACACATTTATTCTTTGCACCCATTTTATTCTTTTCATGGTTGTGTGGGTCTAACTTAGCCCAGCTTTCACAGAGTATTTAGAGAACACAAACTACATGTGAAGGTGATCTGGGCCATGCTAACATGTCTTTCCTTATGTGTACCAAAGAGCTGCATGCTACAATACTCTAATTTCAAGCTTCTTTTTTTTAATCTATGTGCATTCATAACATAAAGCCAGAATACAGCCATTTGTACAAATTTAAAATGGGAAAAATGCCTGCATTGTAATATTAACTGAACAGTTAGTATCTTATGCACTGACTTGCAAATGTCAAACTAAATTTTATACAATAGATTTGGAGGCAATAACTAGACTTTATACCATATAAAAATAAAAACCAGCAACATTAAATCACACTTGACATAGTGGGGGTAACCTGAGGTGAACAAACTCAGGTAAAGAACTTTAGCTGCAGACACAATAAAAATACCAAGCATAGAGATGTCAGAATAATGAATGCCGAGTTTGTGTCAGATGAGCTTCAGCTGAGAATATTCAGTGCCAAAACAGAACTAAAAATGCAAATGCATGGCACTGGGGATCCCTTTTATTCTTTAAGAAACCATCATATCTTTAAACTGCTTAAAAATGTCGACTTGGGCTCAAAAGAAAACAAATAAATAAATCCTAAATAAAAACTTCATTTTATAACACTTTTCTGGAGCCTCAAGAGGAATCACTATAGACAGTTAAACAGACATTTTTGCCATCTGGAGCTCTCTATTTGTTTGTTTCACCATTGTTTTTCGATTACAGTTTTCATAACACATGTCTGAAACCACAGATTCAAGGTTGGATCTCTCTGCTGGGAAAAATAACAATAGTTCTACTGTTTAAAAATGGAACAAAATCTAAAAAAAATCTGAATAAATTGCATTGGAAAATTATTGAAAATTTTAATGTCTGTTTTTTTCTGGAAAACTTATGGAGCGCTTTAATCAAGTCCTCCGGACCTCAAAGCGCTTTACACTTACAGACATTCAACCATTCACACTCACATTCACACACTCACACTTTCTGGATTTAAAAGGTTTGCTTAAGTCTTTCTATAAAGCAAAACTTACGGTAATTAAAAGACGTGGGTTATATAGGTCCCAGTGTGTTTTTAGTACAAATTGTTTGCATTAAATTTGGAGCTTGTTCACATGCATGCCCATTTTCTGCAGTATTTGTAATTACTGTTACAAATTAATGCTCTTTTATTCATGCATGCTCCCTGTCAGTGGATCTGCCATATTCTCTGCTTTTAAAAGCCACTTTTGAAAATAAGTTACCAAAGTTCTTTGTTGGAGAAGGGGGTCTTTGAGATAACAGAGAGGGAGAAGAAAAGCAGAAAAGAAATGGAAGATGCATTAACCTCCTGCACTCTGAGGCCAGTGAGGCGGGGGCAGGAGCCCAGTGAAAGGGCAATAAAGGATGAGAAAGTAGTTTTACAGTGTTTGATGGAGTAAAACAGGGAAGAGAGCAGCTGGTGGGTCAGAGAATGTCAAAGGTAATAATGCCACATTTTTTGTACATATGTGTCAGAAAACTTTGCTTTTCAATCCATTTTGTTATAAACTATTCTTCAAAGTTTATTATTGATTATTGATTTAAAAAAGTGTTTTTTCTTCATTTTCAGATTAGTCAAATTTTATTCTCAACAAATGGGGAAAAATAATCTAGATTAATGGATACATTGGAGTATTAGGGCCACACTACAAAATATTTATTTTTAAATTATGATAATAACGTCATATTACATGAAAAAAGTTGTATGAGAATCAGTTTGTAAGAGATTAAACATAAAAAAGCAGTCTCACCACTCCATTAAAATGAGGAATGTTGAGCATTTGTGAAGTTGTTAAAATGAATACTTAATCTTTTAGTGCATCAAATTATCAGTAGCAGGACATTGAAATGATTGTGCAAATATGATAAATTGAAGCTGTATTGCAGTTAATGGCTGCACTGAAAGATTTAGTTGTCACATAATTTGGATGGAAGCATATTTCACCAACAGTGACCCAAAAGTCATTGCAGAATACTCCATAAACACAGACGCATATGGCTGTCCACAGATGCAGGAAATAAAGAACAGAAAATGGATATGCCATGTAAGACTGAAATGTTTTTGTGTTAACTGTGATTAGTATTAAATATTTAATCTTAGGCACATTAGTAAAAGGTCAGAAGACAGTCCTCCCACACAAGAGACCCTAAAATAATCAATTTAAATAAAGGCTGTAAAAATTGGATCAGAAATTTGATTAAAACTAAATGTCACAGAAAATAGTTCCTCAAATGTAGAAGAACTACAAAATATTGAGAAAAAATAAAATAAAATAATGTGTCGCTGTGAAAATGTACTGCATGTAAATGACCAAAACAAAAAGCTTTATTAATTCAAGAGAGATGGCTGGCCACATGACAAACAAAATTTACTCCAATAACTAAAACAGAAGCAGGAGCTGCAGAATGTCAGCACATTGCATCTGCATAGATTCTGCTTGTTCTGTGTCTATCTCAGTCAGAGTCAACCTTCTGGAAGGACGAGTGGAGGGTCTTTTACATGCCTATGCCCAGAGGCCTCTTGTTTCATAATCCCTCCATGCATTAAGTCCTATTTTCCTGCCTGGATAACAAGGTCATTTAACGGGTTTATAATGACATTTCTGCTCTGCGACCTGCACAGTGGACTGTCTCTCTTTTTCATTCTTTCTATGTGCCATTCTTTCTGCTCAGACCTTTAGCTCATATCCTCTCTCCTCTCCCACCTTCTCCTTGACTTAGGCCAATTTCCTTTCATCCTGCACCTTAGTATAAATGATGCTGACCCTGGGAAAGACCCTGAGGGATTCAGTCTCTAAACAGCCGTTACAGGTAAGATAAATGGCAAGGCAACCAGCACCCACCTGGGCACCATATTTTTTCTAACACTTCAGGTACTTTTGATTTATTTTTCCCTTGCAGATGTCCTCTTAGACAAGATGTATATATTTGATGTCAATGTTTTGGACTTTTTGTTCTAACTTTGAATAAGAATAAACTTGACACTGGGTCACACTGCATTGGATTATATATTATTTAAAAAATTTTCTTAATAGACAAATTTATCACATTAAGTTGAACCAAGCCCTTTACTTTTAAATCTGCCCAACTTTCCATTCCTCCACTTCACATGTCCAATACAATAGTAATTTCAGTGAGCAAAAATGTATATTTTCTAATAATAATCAAAACAAACTTCTTATGCCAGTGATTTTTAAATGTCTTAATAAAAAAGACTCCATGTTCATCATCTGCAAATAACTTGATCTAAATGCAAAAACATTAACGGTTTACATTTCAAGACAATTTCATATAGAGTTAAAACTTACAATACACACAGAGGGAAATTGTTGTGGCATTTATTTGCGAGATAGTTTGGAAAAAACAGAGCTGCACAGTATTTGCTCAGGATGCTTGATGTTCCTGAATACAGTATGTTAGATCTGACAGTCCTTTCATTCCCAGGCTGAGAAAAAGACTGATTTAAAATTATTGCTAGTTACTTTCTCTAGCTTTTATGAAGCTTTCTTTCAGTGAAAAGCAAGAGAAGAATTTTTTATCTTTTCATCTTTAGGTTTGACTATTTTCAACTAAACATTAAACAACTAAACAACTAAACAAGTACAGTTCAATCACCTTCTGCATGCCAGTAATTCAGATGATTCCACTGTCTGAAATCCCTTCATGATTGGACACATGGAAAAAGGAGTGGTAAATGTATATAAGTATTTGTTGCAAGTCAAATGATAAATATTCTACTAATAAAATGGGGTTTTCTAATATTTCACAGCTCCAAAATGCAAAATTAAAAACTCAAACACTGCAAATGTAGCCACTAACTTCTAGTTTTTGACTCTTGGTGTGTTTTTACAGATGCACCTCTCAACCTTCTCCACCCACCTGAACAACCTTTTGGGCTTGAATATCGATGACTAGCAGTCGGCTCTGTAGCGGCTGGGTCACGTAGATGTACTTATCTCTGACGTTGACTGCTGAAGACCACACGCAGTGCTGAGGGGAAACACCCTCACCTTTAGGGCACATCTCCTCCTGAGAAAATCACAAGACAGAGGAGACAGAGGATGAAAGAAAAATGACTTTAACAATAAAGAGAAAAAGTTTGGAAAAAATTAGAAGAGTTGATTATTCTGTTTGTTAACCTACTTCCCTCATTTATAAACAGATTTAAAATTCTGCCACTAGTTTTTCCAGATATAACACCACTGCAGCACCTGCAGTGTACTTCCTTTGCTGACAAGGCACTTAGCCACACACCTGCACTTTGTACACACACCTTTATTTTTCTTCTGGCACTGTCAGTCATATAAAACAATCCCAAGTCCCTAGTTCTAACCTCAACAACAAATGGAAAACCCTAATCTAATTTTAACATTAACCCCATAACAAACTTTTGACCTTCAAGTTCCCCTTTAAACTTGTGGGTTTGAGTTTTGTATTGCTCAAAAAGCCTCCGGACTCCATAACTATAGTGAACTTCACAAACACAGAAAAACAAGACCACACACATAGATTGGTGAGGCAGAGAGGAGGTGGACACACTTGGAGCACAAAGTGGAGAAACTGCTGTTTATAGCAGGAACTGACTAACACATGGCTTATTGAGTTTATATTGATCTCTAATACAATTACACCCCCCTTTAAAAACCCCAAATCCCCTAGGAACAAGAAACTTTTAGCATCTAAAGCTCCTTACTCTGGGAGATGGATGTTATCCACTGGATTAAAACCCCCAAGGCCTTTGGTATAGACTCTCTGTACTATATTGTAGCGAGCTGTTGACTAATGGACACAAGTAATCCCATTACATTTAGTGAGGCGAGGAGTCACATTGTGACATCAGGAGGGAGGTGGGGACTCTGCTCTACTGTATGAAGATGAACAGATATTTGGTGAGGAATGTGAAGGCTGGTACACCTGTGTTCAGGTCAGCTTTAGTGGAAACAGTTTCCAAATTGGTAAATATTTTGTCTCTGTAAAGAACAATAGGCTATGTTGTAGTGTTCTGATGCAATACTCTTGCAAAATATGATTAAAAAAGGTTCTAAATCACTACCATCCTGAAATTTTATTTTGTTTCCTCTTTGTATGTAATGTATTTCTTCATTAAACATGCCTGTACTCACATAGGTTGCAACAATCCTCTCTGTCCTCTTCATATGTCTGCGTATTTCACATTCGCTGGGCTGAAGAACAGTGATGCCCTCATCAGAAAAGATGTAGAACATGTTCCCCACACTCAACCCTTGAAGACAAGAAAAACGTCAAGAATGCTGCCACAGAAAGAACAAAAACAAATTGAAAACAGGACTAAATGCCACTCTCGTCTTATCTGACATTTGTGATGGACATTTCAATTTCAGTCCCTGCTGGAAGGGGCACACAGAGGCTCCTGTTAGCAAGCTCTCATGTTAGCAAGGATGGGCAGTGTGCAGCTGCCAGAAGCTTTGACAATGCCAACAAAGGGCCTGTCAACATCATGTCCAGAACCTACTGTAACAAGTGGAATCAAACTGTTGGTACTTCTCTGTTGGTACTTCCTCTCTGTCTGTTGTAAATAACTGCAGTGACTGTGGATGTGATTGATCTGTCAGGGTCTTAAGGGTTTTCTCTTGCAATAGACCATCATCAGAGAGCATCTCAATGAGTGTTGCTCAACAGCCTGAAACTTTGAAGTAAAAATGAAAAAAAAAAATTCTGAGCATGCACACAACACTAAAACATTTATATGTGCAGATTTAACAAGTAATGTCCTCTTTTGTTTATTTGTTGAGCTGTAGCCTTTAAACAGAAGTAAATACTTCAATTGCTTTCACTGGTTTCTCTGTTGCTTTGACTCATTTAACGCCGTCTTAAACCTACAATAGTGGTAATTTATCAAAAGAGATTACCTTTCTATTCCCTTCTAAATTGCAGTGAATTTCCAGAGGTGATGGTACTTCAGTAAAATTGTTCTGGCTAGAAAAACATTTACAACATATAAAAGGATGATTTGTTTTCCACTAAAAAATACTAAGTTCTTTTTCTTGTAGCTACTACATCGAGTCTGCAATATTTGCACTGACTTCAAACCAAAATATTACACTCCTATGTTTGACTGTTTTCACACTTGGTTATTCCAGTAAAAGTTAACAAAATTCAAACAAATTCATGAATCATTTTGACAACACAAAGAGGACTCCAAAGTTCTGCAGAAAACAGTTCTTGTTCTTTTACACAACAAACATCTTGAAAAAGTAAATATTCAGGTGATACACACAAAGTTAAAAAACATGCTRCCACAACTTCAAATTTGCTAAATTTCAAATGCATTTTAACAATCAAAATGTATTACCTTCTTCTCTCCAAAGGATGTTTGCAACTGCAGAGTCAGACAGTGAGCAGTAGAGAAGAAAAGGTGGAGGAAAAACATTAATTACTTTAGGTTAACACAAACTGAATGCTAGAATTTTCCACACCATTTCTGGCAAGTCCATTTCTTTTTCTAAATTATAATATCTGGAGGGGAAAAAGAGGCACTGAGCTTTTAGCATGATACATATACAGTATATGTAGGTGATGTTCATTATCTCCTCAAAATGATGTAATCTTCTGAAAAAACATATATCAAAGGAAAAGTCAAATGTGTTATGCTGTTGATTAAAAAGGTTGCTTTTTAATGAGATCACTACAGACAAGTGGAACATTTATTCAAGCCACTCAACAAAACACATCATTTATTTTTCTTCTGTTTTTAGAATTTTTTTTAAATGTCCTAAAAGTTAAAACCCTTACTAGGTTTCAGAAAATGATTCTGATTTGAATATTTTTTGCTTTAGTCAGTTCAGATCCAAGTTTGAAGGTTTTCCAAAATACTGTAAACATGAAACAAAACTATTTAAAGCTCATTTTTTGCAGATTTTGTTTTTTTGCTACCTTTAACCCAATGAATATTTTTGAATCATTTGTGTAAGTGGAAATATTGGTGAATTAGTTATTACTGTAGTTACATCATTATGTTTAACTCTTGGGTTTATGTTTTTGTGTGCACTCAAAACTTATTTATAAACTGACAACCTATGGCAACTTGAATGTTGGGTTTACATTTAGAAAATGTGAATATCTACATCCATATTATCCTATACTCCATGAACGTTTGATTAAAACTAAACTTTTTTGTGTGGCTCTTATTTATTTATTATTATTTATTTTTTCAGAATGTCTACCAGCAAACAATGCCCTTTTTGGCTAGTAGCCGAAAGTAACCATATGTGCTAAGTTAATGTGGTGTTAATGTTATTTTGTGTTGCAAAAAAAAAACAAACAACATTTTACAGTACAAGACTCACGGGTCTTCTTGGCTGAATCCTCTACAAAAAGAGAGGAGATGTCTTCGTCCACTCCAACCTCATTCTTGGCGATGCAGGTGTAGGCCCCAGTGTCCTCGTAGCGGACACTAGCTATAAACAGCTCACTACCATTAGCTGCAAAAGGACAAACAGGGAGAAGACACATGAATGACGTGTTCTGCTTAATTATTGATTTGATATGATTTGATTTGATGATGGCTTTATTGTCGTTGTACAGAGCACAATGAAATTACATTTAAGAACACCCATTCAAGAAGACACATATGACAAAAACATGGGGGAACAGGTGATCAGGTCATGCAGCAAGTGCTGAAAGAACTGAAACAATGGCAATCCTTCATATTGGTCAGGCAGCCAGGAAATGGCCTGAATAGCCACCAGTGTTGTTTTGTAGAACACCAGGAGACCACCAAGCTAATCTGTAGAATCCAGTGATCAGAATCCAAATATATATACAGTGGTTTGCAAAAGTATTCATACCCCTTGAACTTTTCCATATTTTGTCACATTACAACCACAAACATAAATATATTTCACTGGAATTTAATGTGAAAGACCAACACAAAGTGGTATACAATTGTGAAGTGGAGGCATGGGCTGAATACCGGTTTCACGGTATAAAAAATTCACGGTGTCAAAACC